CTGCGAAGCAAGACATGGAGGGTTCTCCTCCCCACCCCAGTCATGGGAAGGAGCTCCTGTTTCCAGGTTCCCCTGGGCCCGCAGGGCAACCAAGAGAAGAGTGGCCGACATACAGTTATCTTTAATCTTCTGCGTCCTCTTATGGATGCAAGAAGGTCAGGCAGGTTTCATGGGTCTTTGGAATCCGTTGACCTAGGGAAGAGGCCACTGCTTTTCTGTCTGGTGAGCACCCCACAGGGTGAGGAATCTAAAACATAGAAGACAATTGTTGCGCTGACAGTGCTGAGGTCTCAGGTGCACCGGGACAAGGTGATCCCCAGGCAGTGCCCACACGCACACAAGGCAAGCGCCCCCCCCCAAGTCCCGTGTGCTCCAGCAGCCCAGTGAGGGAGGAGTCCGGGAGCACCTCGGTTGACATGCCTGTTTGTGGGAGGGGCAGCGACCCCACCCCCACCCCAACGGGTGGCAGACTGACAGCCGCGGGAGTAGGCGGGCCCTTGGCTCTGTGCCGCTGGCCTTCCTGGAGGACTGAGAGGGTGTCATTCTCCTTGCAGGTGGCAGAAGACTGCTGGAGCGCCAGCCCCCGGGCTACGGGAGCCTCCCTGAGTCCGGCATGGTAAGAGGAGGGGGGCTGGGAGGCGGAAGGTTTGGGGCAAAGGCCGCTGGTCTCTCTGGAGGCGACTCGGGTCTTTGGCGGTCCAGTTCTCCCAGCCCACCCCTTTCTGGCCTCTAGGCTGGCAACCGGAGGGCATGCAGGGTGGGCCCCTGGGGCCTTTTGGTGCTGGGGGTCCTGCAGAGGCCTCTTAATCCGGGGGAAGGAGGATGCCCACCATTCCTCCTGCTTCTGCAGTGCATCCCTGTGTGCCAGGGGAAGGCTCCCCCCTAGCCTGGGAAGCCAAGCCTCCTTTCTGTCCCCCCCCCTCCTCCTCCTCAGGATGTCAGCGGCTACCAGACCAAAACCTGGAAGGTCATCCTCTGCCACCTCCTATCCCTGCTCACGCTGGGCAGCCTCCTGGTCGTCTTTCACTGGAAGCCTCGTCTCAGAGTCCAGGCGCGATGCAGCCGCTGCCCGCTGCGCCAGGCTGACTGGGTGGTCATTACAGTAAGCAGGACGGGAGAGGCCGGCGGGGAAGGGCCCTGCCTCCTCCGTGGCTCGTACTCCCGGAGGCAAGGGCCAGTGGCTTGGCGGGGCTGGGTGCGCAGGACTCCCATGTCCAAGCTCCAGCGGAAGTCTTGCTGGAGTCAGGGCCGCCCAACACACACGCACACGCACGCACACACCCCTCGTTGAATTTGTGGTCCCCCAAGAGCCTGTCGCTGTCCTGTTCTCTACTGCCTGGTGGTGCCTGGATGAGCAGGGCTTTGCCGTGGGGCGTGACTGTTGGAGAGCCGTATCCTCTCCTGGCAGCCATGCTTGGAAGAAAGTAGCGCCCGGTGGTGCAGGGAGGAGTTGCATTCCCCTTTTCTGTCCGAGCCAGACTTCCGCCTGTTGTCACACATGCCCCTGAGGGCCTGCTCTCTTCCAGGACCGGTTTGGCCAGTGCTTCACCACACGAGTGCAAACAGAACAAGTCGAGGAAGGCAGGTGAGTCAGGCTCTCAGCCCATCTTCCCCTCTTGTCAGCCTGAGCGGGGACGTGTGAGGAGACAGAAGAGAGCAAAGGGTGCTTTGGGGCTCTGACACTCCCCCCCCCCCAGCCCCACTTCGGTGACCTCGTGAGCAGGAGAGGATGCACATGGACATTTTTCTTTTATAGATTCCCCCTCCCCCCTCTGGAATGGCCCCTCCCCATGAGCCTGCCTTCCGTGGGAGCCACACAGGTTCTGACCCAACTTTGTGTTTGCGATGTGGATGCAGAGCTTGCCGCTGTCCTCATGGCTGTGCTGTCCGACTTTCTCAGACCCACCTGGACACGCCACTCTTCCGGTGTGGTGGGGCATGTGGAAGGCAGGCAGCCCAGGGCCTGAGGGAAGCCGCTCTGCTTTCTCGGGGCCTGTGGCTCAGGCCCCTGCAGGAGGATCGGTGGGGCTCCAACCCTGCTGGCGTCAGCCTGGCCAGCCACTCGCCGTCTGACCCCGAGGCCTGTCCCGGCCACCTTCTCCCCTCGACTGAGCGTCTGGAAGCATACCCAGCTCACAGGGACACTTACATTTCCCTGCAGCCCTGGAGGTCTCTGTGTTTGCCTTTGGAAGAGGCCCCCAAGACTGTGAGCATCTCCAGGGCTTGGGCCAGAAGGGGGCATGCAGCTCAAGTCAACCCCACCCCCCCACCCCGCTTTCCCTTGCTGCTCAAGCACTGGGCTGGTCTTGGGATCGGGGTTGTGCTTGGGAGGGTGGGGGCCAGTGTTCCCTCTAAGCTGAGTTAGTGTGAGCTAGCTCACAGTTATTTTAGCCTCCGGCTCACACATTTTTGTCTTAGCTCAGGAAGGATGGCTCCAGAGAACAAGCTAATTGATGCAGCAGCCAAATGGCTTGCTCACAAAGCAGAATTTTTGCTCACAAGACTCCACAGCTTAGAGGGAACATTGGTGGGGGCAGGGGTTTTTTGGATGAAAATCCTCCCATGAGGGTTAGACTGGCTAGAGAGCTGGGGAGGGGCGGTGGTGGGGAGGGGGATCCACATGGTTTTTTTTGGGGGGGGGCTGACTTCCCTGAGCTTGTGGGTCTTCTGTGGGGGCTGGCTGGCAGGCAGGCAGGCAGGCAGGGGCGGGCCTGAACTCCAGGGGCTTAGCTGGGATGTGTTCAAGAATAAAAGTGCTTGGGGGGGGGGCGCTTTAAATCCCTCCCTCTCAAGCAGTGGGATTCCCAGCATCTTGTGCTTAAGAGCCTGCTCTCTCTCCCCTTTTCTGCCATGTGAAGTCTCGCCCTTTGCCCTGCTGCTGCTGCTGATGGGAGAAGCAGCATCGCCGTGGGAGTGTCAGAGGACACAGACGCCAGAGACACAATATGGCTTCATCCAAAGGAGGTGGAGGAGGAGGAGGAGGTATTGCGCTCTCGCTCTCTCTCCCCCCACCCCCCTCGTGGCACTTGGCCCAGCGGCACGTCGTCCCCGCTGGGCCACCCTGACTCCTGGGCCCTTGCTGCTTCGCTCCCAATTCCCACCCTGGATTCTGCGCTTTTGTTGGGGTCTTTCTACGTTTCCTGCACCAGGAAAGTGGGGTCTCTTTCTAATGTGTCCTCCTTCTGTGGTTGTGCAGAAGGGTTGTGCCCTCCGTTATTACCTCTTCGAAGGGTCGCGCTACGTCTGGATTGAGGAGTGGGAAGCATTCTGCAGGGTCAGGTAGGCACTCGGCCCCAGACGGCAAGGCACCCCCCTGGGCTTCCGGCCAATGTCACTCCGGCCTCCTCCTCGTGGGAAGATCCTGACCACGTTTGAATGTATTCACGTGAGCGAGGTCGAAATGAACGGCCAGGCCTCTGTTTCTGCCACGGCATAGCCTCGACGTTCTATGACTTCGGCTTTCCCCCTTTGCTGCTGGAAGGGTCTGTGGTGTCACAGCTGGGGGAGAGGGCGAGGGCACTGCCACTTTTTAGGGAACGAGGAACTGACGGCTTTCAGCTTCTCACTGGAGGATACCATCCCCCCCCCCCCGTACATTTGCAGCAAGTTAGACGAGAGCAGGACCTGCGCAGACATCCAGTCCTCCCGCCGTGGGCTGAGCGCCCGGGAACGGAGCGCCAGGTAAGGGCCTCTCTGGTTCTGCAAACCACCCTTCGGATTTCACCCCTAAAGACTGACTCTCCAGTTCCCCCTGGCGTCTACAGGGGCATTACGGTACTGCCCGCTTTATTTTCAGTCCCTTTCTCATTAATAATCCCCAGCGAGGAGTTTGCCTTTGTTGGCCAGGCCCTCCCTGGGTTTTCACCTGCCTGACTTCCAGGTTATTGATGGGACAGGGGTCGGGGGGGGGGGGGTCTGGATGCCTGGCCACAGGTGGGAGGGGCCTTCCACTTGAGGGACCCTGAAATCTGTTGGCGTCGCCATGTGACTTCGGAGTGGTGAATCTAGAAATGACTATATTGAACTGCTGTCGCTTACAGCCCCTCCCCCAGAGGGGTTAACAGGACATTTGGCGGAATGACCTGACAGGGGAGCTTTGGAGGGTCTTCTGATGGCTGTCCTCACCTTGGCATGCCTGTGTTTCCTCTCTTCCTCCTCACAGGAGAAAGGTTTACGGACCAAACCTGATAGATGTACCAGTCAAATCTTATCTCAGCTTGCTGATAGCGGAGGTAGGCATTTTGGACGCTGCCCTTCCGTCTGGTGGTGGTGGAGGAGGAGGAGGCCATTTCCCTGAGTGGCAAAGGCATCATTGCCAAAGAGCCCAGGCAGTGGCAGGAGCAGCAGCTGTCCCCCTGCGGAAGCAGCCAGAGGACAGTCCTGCAGCAGGCTGCAGCTTGTCCCGATTTCCCCTCCCCGGCAGGGGAGAGTGGCTTTCCTTTCCCAGCCCTGCTGTCTCAGTGGAGGCCTGAACCGGGGCCTTCCTGCACGCCTCCTGACCCAGGAGACTCGGGAAGGGACTGCCCTCGGGGAGCGATGACTGTTCTGCTGCCGTGCTCTTCGTGTCTCTTTCTCCGCCTCCTTCCACAGGTCTTGAATCCATTCTACATCTTCCAAGTCTTCAGTATGTCCTTGTGGATCTGCGAGAGTTACTACTATTATGCGGCCTGCATCTTTATCATATCCGCTGTCTCAATCGGAATCTCTCTTTACGAGACAAGGAAGGTGAGTCGTGACCTCGGCCCTCGGCCAGATCGTTGGGAAGAGTCAGGAGAGAGGACGGCACTCCTCGCCACGTGCCGAGTCCCTGTGTTGGGAAGCTGGCCCTCAAGCCCTCTGCCCCCCCCCCCCACCCGAGCTGCGCCGCAGGCCCTGCCCCTTCCCAGCTTGCACCCGCACAGTTGCGGGTGCGGATCCTCTGCTGCTGGCCCTGCCCCATCCTGATGCTTTTGTATGGCTTCTCTCAGCAAAGTAAAACCCTGCAGAGCATGGTGCAGATGTCGGTCAGCGTGAGAGTCTTCACGGCCAGCAGAGGTGAGTCGGCGGCTCTGGGACTCAGTGCTGGCTGAATGTGTTGGGGAGCCCTGGGCTAACCTGTCCGGGCAGTGGCCTGCAGCCGAGATGCTGCATGAGGAGAATCAGCCCCCTCCCTGGGCGGGCCTGCGGTGTGCATCGGGCTCTGCGCTTGGCCCTTGCGCTGCACGTGCTCAGTCCAGGGCAGAAAGGGTAGGGGCAGCCAGACGGGTGGGGAAGTGGGGAAATGGAGGGAGGGAGTTTCCTCACACGGCTTGCCGGGGCGATGCCGGGTTGGGGCTGGGGCCAAGGAAGTCTCCTGTTCAGATTGTACCTTGTTAGTCACACTCCCTGAGACCTTTGTCCTACAATCTGCAATTTGTGACTACCTTGCGGGACTGTGGTGGGGGATGAGTGTAAAGCTTGTGGAATATTCTGAAGCCCCAATAATATCATCCTACTAATTAGGATCAATGCTCCCTCTAAGCTGTGGAGTCTTGTGAGCAAAAATTCTACTTTGTGAGTTGCTGGCATTACAGTTGTGAGCGAGCGATTTGGCTACTGCATAAATTAGTTTGCTCTGGGGCCGTCCTTCCTGAGCTAAGACAAAAATGTGTGAGTTGGAGGCTAAAAAACTGTGAGCCAGCTCACACTAACTCAACTTAGAGGGAACACTGATTAGAATCACAGCTTCAGGCAAATGCGGTTGGGGTTAGGGTTAGCCTAGCCCTAACCTGCTTTGGATTTGTTTCCACAAAGTGCTTGCTTGTGTACACGAGGGGCTTTGGGAGCAGCCCAGGGGACACACTTGGACGGGAGGCAGCTGAGAATTGAGAACCAAAGTCCTTTAATGTTTCAACGGCTCTTCTCCCTCGAGTCCCAGGGAGAAAGGTGCACTCTAAGTGGCATGAATCAAACAAAAGGACTCTCTGTGAGGTACCCAGTGCGGCACTTGCTGCGCTGCTGCCTCTGGGGTCTGCCTGTGGGTCTGTCCGGGGGGGGGGGGAGCGCGTGGTCTTCAGAGTCCCCGGAGGAGCCAGGCCCTTTCCCAGCACCCCCTCCTCGGCAGGCCGAGCGGGGCACCGGGGACTCTCTGCTCCTGAGGCTGGGGCCGCACCACTCGGCTCCTGGTTCCGGTTGTCTCACAGAGGTGGGCTTCAGTGACTGATTCTCCCTTTTATTACCCTTCGCATCATGTTGTTCCTCCAGCTGTGTGAGGTTCTCAGGGTGCTAGCGATGAGTGCTCAAGAGAGAAATGCCAAGTAGTTTCTGACCTGAACAAGTAGTCCTCTGTGGTTTGCAATCCTTGCATTCTTGTGCCATTTTACCTTCTGAAAAATGTTCTGGCTGCTTATTGCCTTGAGGAGGGTCTGACTGATTTGTGTGTGGGGGGGGGGGGCTACAGAGGAAACAACCATGGACTCCAGTGACCTCGTGCCGGGCGACTGCATCGTGGTACCCGCAGACGGGATGTTTGTTCCTTGTGATATGGCCCTGCTGACTGGAGAATGCATGGTCAACGAAAGCCTGCTGACGGGTGAGCCGGGACTACTGGCAGGGGGCCCAGGGTGGGGCAGAAGCTTCTTATTGGGGCTGCCATAAGGCAGTTTCGTTTATGGGCAGGCCCATAGCTACCGTGGGGCCCCCGGGGGCCCCCCCAGCGATTTTTACGGGCCAATCTCCAATTCTCGGCTCCCCCTCACCCCCGTCACTGCCCTCACCCCAACGGCTGGCGAGAGGAGGGCAGCAGCGCACCCATGTGCGAGGAGGGGCCCCGGCCAAGCCCTGCAGGCGCCCCGCACCATGTAGCCAGGGTTTCCAAGCACCCCTGCTCAGAGATGGACTGGGGCAGCTGCTGAAGCCACCGTGGTGTGCCCGCCAGCCTGGGCATGGCTTGGCAGCTCGGGGCACCCGGCGACAGCAGGTAGGCAGGAGGCGAGCGGCCGGGGAGCCTGCAGGTGTGCTGGAGGAGCGGCCGGCCGGCCGGCAAGCCCCACACTGGCTGCGGCAGCAGGATCCTGCTCTCTCTCGCCGTCCTGCTTCGTCATGATCGCGGATGGACTTTGCAAAGGAGGCGTCTTCTCTGCCCGGTCTCCGGAGCCATCCCGCTTCTCCACCGCCCCGCTTGGCTGCCGACCCCTGCCTTGGTGGATACCGAGACGCTCTGGGCTGTCGCCCCCCCGTCCCCCTCCCCCCTCCCCCAAAACTCCTTAGCTACGGGGCTGTTTATGGGCAGCTGTTTGGGACTGGTGCGTGTCCCCCCCCCCTTGTTTCCAGAAATCCTTTCTCGCCCCTCTAGGAGAAAGCACCCCAGTGATGAAGACCCCGTTGCCCGAAGGCCCACAGGCTGCCAGCTCCGTCTATTCCCCTGAGGAGCACCGGCGGCACACGCTCTTCTGCGGGACACAGGTCCTCCAGGCCCGGCCCTACGCGGGGGCCGAGGTCCTGGCCGTCGTGACTCGCACAGGTGAGACCTTTGGGCAGGGTGATGCCCCTCCCTCTGCTGAAAGCCGCTCCGCATGGCAGCTGTGGGCATTCTGGCCCCAAAGTGCAGTGCGGTGCACAACGGAGAGCGTGGGGGTGTGTGGGGTCAGGACTGGCAGAGGGGTCTTCTTCTTTCATGCTGGGGACCAGCACAGCTTGCTGCAGCGGGCTGGCACCGCTGAGGGGCTGAGCACCGGTGGAAGGACTTCAGTTCCCAGAAAGGGGGGGGGGGGGCGGACATTCACCACAATGAATCCTGTGGGAGGTTAACTTTGGCAAGTGGCCCTGTATGGGTTTGGTCCATTGACAGGCTTCGGGGAGGGGTTTCTTTTTCTTCCTCTCCCCCCCCCCCACCCCAAGGCGTGTAGACCCCATCCTTCCCTTCCCTTGTTTCTTTCAACCCCTCCCTGTTTCTCCCTATTTCGTTCTGATGTTTTCATCCCCTCCCATCCTCAGAGCAATGTTTGCGGTCCTGCCCCTTCTCAGCAGTCCTCTGTGGTCGGCCAGACGAGGCCAAGGAAGAGTGGCTGGCCACAGGGTCCTCTCCGGAACATCACGGCCAAGTGGGGATTCCAGCCCAGGACTCCCCCCACCCCACCCCCGCCTCGCCGTGAGATGCCCCCTGGTGCGGCACCGCATCGATTCCCTGCTAGGAGCCACTTTATCTTCCTTCCCTCTAGGCTTCTGCACTGCCAAAGGAGACCTCATCAGTTCCATCCTCTACCCCAAGCCCCTGAACTTCAAATTTTATAAGGATGCGGTGAAGTTTGTCCTCTTCCTTGCAATCCTGGGTAAATCCATATCTGATTTCTGTCAGGAGCAGTGGGTGTCGCCCCGGTGAGCTTCAGCTCCAGTCTCATGCAGGACTTGTGTTGTGCAAACAGGTGATGGAGGGGAGGGAGCCCCCCCCCCAAGGTCTGGTGCCTCCAGCTATTGTCTCTTCAAATCTGGGCTCAGATCTTGCCCCACCCCCCCACCCCCGCAAGGAAGAGGGAGGCCAAAGTCTTGGTGGGAGGGGTGGGATGCAAGCCAGCCTCTCCTGTCCTTTCTGGCAGACACAGCGGGCTTCCATGGTGCCCCACGGCTGGCTGCCAGCCATGCTGCTGCTGCTGCACTGAAGCCCTGTGGTGTTCCCTGCATAGGATGCCTCCCCCCCGGCTGCCCTCCCCCCGTATACTGGTACCCCCTGGTTAGGGAGGGGCTTGACATACAGAGTTGGCGTGGTGTGAATACCTCCCATCTTCAGCTGAGGTCCTGCGGAGGGAGTCCGGCTTGCGGGGGAGGGTGTGTGGACAGTGTAGCGGCGTCTCCCCTAAGCTCAAACACACACATGCACACCCCCGTCTTCCTGCTGTTGTCTTCCCCACTCTCATCCTTTATGTTATAAATCCCCAGGGCCGGGATCCTGCATTCTCATTCATGGATTGATCTAGGTCACACATTTGCTATTTCTAGGCAGTCAATAAATGTATGTATCAAAGCAGCAGTTGAGCAGGGGTCTAATCTAACAACCAAAGGAATTAAGTAATACAACTCTCACAGCTAAACCCACCACAGGTGTCCCAGCCACCGCCTGAAGGAGTCTGCTGAGAAGTCAGTTCCTGTTGGCATTCCTCCGTGGAGGGCGGGGCGGGGGCGGGGGGGCGTCACGGCTACTGCAGCCGTGTGGAAAGCTGCTGGGCTTCCGCCGTGGCGGGGACATCCCGCGTGTTGCTGCTGTGGGGGGTGGGGGCTTGTGGCCCCCTCCGTGACCTCTTCCTTCTCGATCTGTTCTAGCTGCTCTTGGGACTGCCTACAGCATCTTCATCTTAATTCGAAATCGGGTAAGTATTGTAATAGAGTCAGTGTGATGGGCAGGAGGCCGCTCGTTAGCCTTAGGCTGGTTCGGGGGCTTTGCTCCCGCTGGTGTCTTCCTTCGGCTCCACATTTGTTCATTGAGCCGTTTACTCCTGAGACGTCTTGTCAGAGGTGAACCTGAGAGGGTGACTATCCGGGCTAGCATTCTTTTTCCACACTGAAGCCCACCGGCTGCCTTGGAGGGCCAAGAGAGGGGTCGTGGAGGCCAAGGCCTCCGGCGCTGGGATTTTGACTGCCTCTGGAGGGGGAGGGGAGGGGCCGTGTGGCTCAGTGGTTAGGGCCTCTGCTGTGGCCTGCAGGGGGTGTCCCAGGCTCCACCCCCGCTGGCCTCTCCAGTTAAGAAGGACCAGGCAGGAGGGGGCGGGAAAGAGACCTCCGCCTGAGACCCTGGAGAGCCGCTGCCACTCTGAGTAGAGACAGGACTGACCTGGATGGACTCGGAAGTCTGACTCAGTAGAAGGAAGTTCCTTTTACTCACCACCACGGCTCGTGGCCAGGGATGGACCTCTCTGCCCAAGGGTCTGCCTAGCCCCGCCTGGCTTTGGCCATCGCTGTCCACGGCAAGTGTCAGCGCCTTTGGGGGTGAGGGAGGCCCTTCCTTCCCTCTGTCCTGATTCTCTTTTTTTACCAAGACAGGTTCTGGGAAGCCCCGCGTGCTGCTTCCCCCTCCCCTCCCCCTCCCCCTCCCCCGGCACAGCCTGAGAGCCACTTCCTGTCTGGATGGTTACCACGTTGTGCTTTTTTGGTAGTGATAGCGGTGCCTAATCTTGCATCGGGGCACGGAATGTCTGCATGGAGGCCGCTTGAAACCGGGGCCGGGTGCCAAGCCTTCCTTTCCGGCCCCTTGCCGGGCAGTCTGGTCCCACCAGCACCACTCCTCCTCCCCCCCACCACCACCGTGCGGCTGCTGGGATTCTGACCATCAGGAGTCGACTGGCAGGGGTCCCCGGCTAGCCTTTGACCAGCTTTCCTGCCCGGGCTCTCCGTGAATGCCGCAATCTCTTCCTTGCCAGGTTCCTGCTTGGCAGATAGTGCTCCGAGGCTTGGATATCGTCACGGTGGTCGTGCCGCCAGCCCTGCCGGCTGCAATGACTGTGGGCACCATCTATGCCCAAAACCGCCTGAAGAAGCGTGGGATCTTCTGTGTCAGCCCTCCCCAGATCAACCTCTGTGGGAAGGTGCGCCTGGTCTGCTTTGATAAGGTGAGGAGGGAGAGCCGGCGGACGGGGGGGGCGCACATCCCTCTCGGCTGCACTCTGACATGGCCGGTGTCTGCCCCTAGACAGGAACTCTCACCGAGGAGGGCCTGGATATCTGGGGCGTCGTGCCCCGGGAGAACGGCTCTTTCCTGCCGATTGTTCATGAGGTGCGCTACGTGGGTGAGGGCCCCTTGCTCCGCTGCCTGGTCTCCTGCCACACAGTCTCTCTGCTCAGAGATCAGCCCATTGGAGACCCTGTGGACCTCAAGATGCTGGAATCCACTGGATGGGTGAGCAGAAAGCCTCTCTGGAGGGGAAGACCGACTCCCTTGTCTGCAGAATCATCCCCACTCTCTGTGGACGTCTAGAGTATGATGTTCTTGTGGCAGGCGGGCTGGCTGGGTCTATGAAGACTCCCGTAGACTGACCCGTAGACCCCATCCACGGTGGAGATGGTGGTAGATGAGAGAGGGTACTCTCTCAGCGGTCTACGCATGTAAGTGAGCTGCCTCTCTCTCTATTTTCCACGTAGCTGGCAAGGCCGGGGCCCAAGAGCATATCTAGCTGCCACAGGGCTTGTTGAGGGCTGCAGAGTGTGGTAACAGAGAGGGGGTTGTTGCAAAGAGAGAGCCGCGCCTTCTCACACTGTCCACCTGCCTGCCTGCCTTCCTTCCAGACCCAGGAGATGGTTGAGGGAGCGGAGGCGGAGGCCCAAGTGGTTCGGCTTTTTGGGTCAAAGGCACTGGTTGTGATGAATCCGCCGCCCCTGGAGGACCAGCCTGTCGGTGCAGTAAGCCTTGGGTGCCTCGTCGGGGGCTGCGGGGTGTTCTCACGGGGGGAGCTTGGGTCTCCTCTGGGGGGGCTGGACCCGAGCTCTTGTCTGTCTGTCTGTCTGTCTGTCTGTGCCATGCCCCTTGGGTGGACTTGTGCCACAGAAGAGGAGTCCCGTCTCTCCCTGCCCCGTTTTGTCTCCTTTTCAGCGGCACACAGTCCCCCTCGCCGTTCTCCGCCGCTTCCCGTTTGCCTCCTCCCTGCAGAGAATGAGTGTCTTGGTGAAGATGCCTGGTGGCGCCTCCTCAGAGGCTTATATGAAGGGGGCTCCAGAAATGGTGGCTAGCCGTTGCACACGAGAATCAGGTATGGCCCGCCTGCCCTTGCCTCTCCCTCGCCCCCTAGCGGCCGGCCAGCCAGCCAGCCAGCCTGCCAGCCTGCTCTCCAGTGAATGCTGTGCCTGGGTTTGTGCCTTCCATCCCATCCTTCCAGGAGGAAGAGGAGCGGGTGATAGTAAGAACATAAGGACCCAAGAGAAGCCAATGCTGGATCAGGCCAGTGGCCCATCCAGTCCCACACGCTGTGTCAGACAGCGGCCAAAAATACCAGGCGCCACCAGGAGGTCCAGCGGTGGGGCCAGGGCACTAGAAGCTCCCCCCCCACACACACACACTGTTGCCTCCCCCCTCCCAAGCGCCAAGAAGACAGAGCATCCCTTGCCCCAGACTGAGAGTTCCCATCTATGCCTTGTGGCTAAGAGCCACGGATGGACCTCTGCTCCATGTGTGTATCCAATTCCCTCTTGAAGTCATCCATGCTTGTAGCTGCCACCAGCTGCTGGACTATTTAGCCTGGCCTGGGCTGGGGCCACTCTGCCAGGGTGCTCGGGGTGCCTGGCCTACGTGGGTCGATGATGTGCTTGGGGTGGGGGGAGGGGGGGGTCCCAGAGCCAAACCTCCCAGTGTGGGGAGGCACAGACTTGGTCTCTCATGGAGCAATAGCCTCTCCTCCATTGTAGTTTAGAATATGGGGGGAGGTGTGAATAGGAGCACACACGCACCCCACACACAAAAGCATCACCCTGAGATGGGAGAGTTGTCTTTCTGTCTCCCCTGTGCAGTTCCCGTGGATTTCTCTGAAACACTGCGTCATTACACGAGCCATGGCTTCCGCGTGTTGGGGCTCTCCTACAAACCCTTTGCTGCCATCCGGACCTTTGAAGAAGCCCAGGAGGCGCCGAGGTGCCTGGGACGGGACTCCGCTCCCCCTTCCCCCCCCCAGGCACTTGACCTGGCCTCTGCCTCCTCCCCCTCCTCCTCCTCCCCCTCCT